AGTGGCCGATAGTTATCGGTTTGATGTTTACCCAAAGAGAGACATATTCGTCTATTGCTCCTCTTCATCGCAACGGGTTTCGGCAGTTGTTATATTAGCACTACTGACCTTCGGCCATGCAACGGCAGTGTTAAAAAACCTAGCTCTCAGGTTGACAAAAACTTGTCGTTGCTCAGGAACCGATTGTGTAGAACGGCGTGGTATAGGGTTGTTTTCTACTTCGGACATCTTCATCTACCTTCCCCGACGCCCTGCACTGTACAGTCTTGCTTACTTGTCCGCCCCAGAGAACTTTGCTCACTCAACTTCTGTCTGCCTAACGACTTTGCCAGTGGCAAGCTTAGGTGATAATTTTGTGGTCCCCCATAGCATCTGTGCGGCGTCCAATAGGCCTGTAGTAAGTTTTCCTGTATCCTTTTCCCTGAGCCTCTTTTTGCTGACTATTCTGTCTTCTACCAGAATAATCTTGCGTTTTCTTTCCGCAGAACAACTGTCTCCTGGTCCATACCGGCGACGTAGGAAGGAGTCAGGACCAAGCAGTCGTCCGTGGCAAGCTGACTTTCTGCACACCTTCCTCTGTGGTCGCTGAGCGTGTATTCACTTTAGGAAGTCAGATGCACAGTTATCAGACCACGGCTCGCCTTTGTTCACTCCAGTCCGCTCAGCAACTAGAGCAAGACGGTGGGTTTATTGGACTATTAACCCGATTTTGGTTATATGGTTTGAATTAACGATCGCCATAGCTCTCCGTGGTCTGACCTCAATCACTGATTTGTTATGTGAGTGTCATGATAACACTACTCTGACACTCGAAGACGAACGTTCTAGCCCAACTGTAGGGTACTCGTTAATTCTTACTCCTCGTCTGTTTGGCTCGAAATTACTGAATCTCGCGACTCTATCTATTCTGATCACGATAGTGAGACGTTGACTGCGACGTAGATCTTGATTTAAGAATGAGCAATATTTCCCTAGAACACATTTGCTATATTCAAGTGGTTGGCGCTAAGACAGCCTTCGTAAGTTGTCTTTTTGTCGATATCTTCGTGTTTTTGTTTGAGCGGATGGCTTGGTGGGCATATCCTAAAATTACTTAATTCTTTCCTTAATTTTTGAAACCTCAGTCGCTTAGCTCGAATCATATTCTAAGCGTTGTATGTCCTTCGTATGCCCCTTTTTTTACTAATGCATGTCCTTGTGACCAGGAAATAACCGAAATGCGAAACTCTAAGATACGCCTAGAGTGGACCTGGTTCCCTATCCAGACAAGTTTATCGATTTCCACTCGTATACGGCAGGTCCTTCCATTAGCAGTCATCTGCACCTTCATTTTCACTGCTAACTGAAAAACAGTTACTTGGTGATGACGACTAAATCTCCAGTTCATCAAGGCACTCTTCCTTGGACTGAATACTGGGAAACAGCCAGGGCTTGCTAAGCGGTTCGAATCCACGAACCTAAATGATATTCTTTCAAGAGAGGTAGGGCAGATTCCGGACTTCGTAGCCCTTGTATTCGAGTGCGTTATACTTTCCTAAATGACATATGATGTCATAGTTTGTCAAACTCATGTTATTTCTTGGCCATCTGTTTTATTGCCCCTGTGGTGCAGACTGTCCTCCTAGACGGTTTCAGATCAGTTGCCCAAGTTCTACCACATATTCTATTTTTCATCATAAGCAGTTCCTTTGGGAGTAGGACTTGGTGTGATACCCTTTGCGTTTTTCGCTAGAATAAGCGTCTGTGTCATTTTTTCCCTCGTCACCTGCACCTTGCAACCGTCTAAAACTGTAATTACGAGAGAATGTTCCAGCTTTTCACGAGTGTAATTGCCTTTGTATAACACCGAGTCGCGTCCGTTGGAATCCTCTGTGATTCAGGCCGCTCTGTTTTGCACATGTTTTACACAACCCTAATTGTGCTTATAGCAACGCCGTCGACTGTTTCGAAGATTTTCTGCACGCTAACATTTGGCCTGCGTTAGCAAACAGTGCCAGTTGCCACACCTGCTGCATTCCGTTCGCACATGCCAAACTGGCCTCAACTCAACGAGGCAGACGCATTTGCATCAGCCAATCACCGGCCTGATGCCCTTGCGCGCGCGGTTTTCGAATGCGGCTATCGCCCAATCAGTTATATACATCCTACTGTGTGTCTTTACCGCGCCGTTAGTTTGGCCGCGCGGTCACACGAGAGTGGCGATCAAGCAGGGTGTGACCGTTAACACGTGCGTAGTGATCAGTGCTGAAATCTCTTTCGCGCATAGCTTTCAACTGGCTGCCACCTTTCAACTTATTTCCTTCCCGCCCTACGCGCATGCTTCTCTTCGTTTTAATGGAACTACGCCTACTCCTACCTCTTACTTTCAGAACGACGGCAGTACAATGAAACCTACATATACAGTGATGGAGAAGTCATCACCTCAACACGAATCCACGGTACACCGGACGCCGGAAACGTACGAAGACTGCTGACTGACGACTACGAGTCGCCGAATTTCCCCGTAGTCTCTCCCCATGCGCTCCCTTCTTCCAAAGAATTCCAGGAAAGAACATCCAAAGCCATTTGAATTATCCTCTACTCTTGCCTTACACTTTTGCCTTGTCCATTTTTTACAGTTTTATTTGCACTACCTCTCTACTGGGCGCACCGCATTATCTGGTTGCCATTTGCTGGTCTTTCACACTGCTGACTTACAGACAATCAACTCTTCTAAATTGAATCTGGTCCGTCAACCGATCTGGCTTAAAATCTGTCCAATCGGGATTACGCATTCCTGCATTTTGCCACTTGTGATTTTCTCGTTTCTGCACACCGTTTTTTCGCTGTTCTGTCTTCTTTTCCGATATTTTCGTTTATATTTTACACTAAAACACTTGCCTCTTCCTTACTTATGCGTCTTCGGGGTTCGCTCGGCGGGGGGACGTCAAAGTTGGTAGTGTGGGCATAAATATGCCTGGGCATGTATTGACGTCTACTCGGACTCCGCTAAAACGTTTTTTTCTTCTTGTGTGTGGTGAATAGCTCTTCTGTGCCTATAGAAGTAATTCTGCAGCCGCGTATTTGCATCATTGCGTTGTCGTTTTAATGCACACATAGGATGACCTTCCGACTAAAAGTCTCACCAAAACCTGCACCGGCAGCTCGTTAACGGACTTCGCTGGGAATCTGATCCCACTTGTGATCCAACACGACGGGCAACTATACACTACGACTGGTTTCTCCGGCTCCTCGCAAAAGCCCGCGTATGGTTCTCGTCTAGTTAAGCTCGCTAAACGACTTACAGTGAATGTGCTTTCCTGTGAAATGTTATCCGAAATTGTCACTGGGGTTTCCGTTCGAAAAGATTACACAAGTTATAGTTGTAAGGTTTATTATCCCGCAGCATCGCAGGATATCAGCTTTTCAATAAGCAACTTGCTACCCACCCGCAAGTATTACACTGGAGAAAATGGCTACTTTAGCAGTATGTATCTCTCCAACTGATTTTGTATGCACATAGAAATTCAAATATATTATGTGGAAAAGGTGCACAAAGGTATGCTTTCTTATACATATATGATAGCCGCCTATGTCCCCTTTGAAATTAATGCTTAAAAATGCCTGGCTTTCGATTTTTTCCTTTAAAACAACATTTTTCAAATGTTGACGGATTTCGAACCCGAGCTTCCATTACATTTCGATTCGGGTTTTCTAAAATAAATGCTCTATATATTCAGTCTAAGGAAAGTCACAAATTGCTCTACGCTATGGGGAAAATGCCATTAAGTTCTCATAAGATTTTGTTGTGCATGTGCACCATGCTGCAAACTTTATAATCTGCATTGAAAAATGAACAGATGCGATAATTCATGAATCAGAACTTCACGGTCTTCAAAAATATCATTATGCATACAACTTACGTAGTGGTGGTTTTGCGGGCGGTCGAGCAGCAGTTCGCTCAAAAGCCTGCATCCTGTCGTGACCGAAATGTCTTGGGGTTATGCTACACGCTAATTAATCTTATAATTCTACTTCTGTGACTGATTTCAAAACGAAAACACTTTTCAGAATTTTGGTTAACGTTTCATGAGATATCACGTCGACTGTAGGTGCAAGGACTTCGGCTCGGCAATAGATCACAGTAGTACTTGCTCTATGTATTGGTCCAAAATCGATGGGATGTGGTCTTGCACTGTCGACGGTGCTCGGGAACATATTTGTGCACGCGAGATTGGTTTTTCACAGGTTGTTCGAAGCCTAGTTATTTTATTTCGAATTGCGACTGAGGGCGCTCTCCGCAGGTTATCTGACAATCGTCAAAAAATCGACTGCAACCGTCTAAGTGTGTGTCCATGGTTAGGGCGATAGAGCGCCAGCGGTCAACTGATCCTCGGGATCTGGACTACCTGACGACGGCGAAGCGTTCCGCATTTCTTCATGACAATTATTTGCTGTCCGTATACACGTAACTATGAACGCCCCTCCTTTGTATGCGGGAACTATAGGCGGTGGGTGTTTCGTTGCCGCCTTTTCGTGGATTTTCATAGCTTGGTAATGTGGCAACT